AAGCGTCTTCACCACTTCCCTCTACCCCCTCTCCTCGAGCTGCAGGGCGGCCGGGCGGGCTGGCAGAACCTTCTCCACCCCAGTTCCCTGCCTCGGGGAACTTCTCAGAAGAGAACTTCGGACTGTGAAAGCCGCTTCCTGGGCCTCTCTGGGCCCTTCTCGAAGGGTGCTTGGGAGTGAGGTGGAGAGGATTCTGCGGCCACTGAGCGAAATGACCCTCGCGGCACTGGGTGCTAAATGTGCGCGTCCTGGGCGGTGTGGGCGGTTTCGGGTCTCTGTGACTCGGAGGACGTTGGGTAGGAAAGCACTTGTGTAGACGAGGACGCAGACAGTAGGTGCAGCTGAGAAGGTGAGGAGGCAAGGCTGGCGCTTCTTGAGAAACCGACATTGGCTTAAATGTGGAATTGAGCCTAGTGGCTTGCTTAGGAGACGGCGCATTTAGAAAGCTGGGTCAGTTTCCCGTCCATGTTTCTGCGACCAATTACGTTGTAAAATTAAAAACTCAATGGAAACGAACACACACACACATGCACAAAACAAAAACAAAACAATATTAGTGTGCTGTCGCCATGGAGGTGTTCAATCTGGACTCTAAACCTAGAAGTGGGTGCCAAGAGGCGCACCCTGCGAGGCGCTTCCGGGCCCCGTCATAGACGTCGGGGTTGGCTCCCGCGGACATGTTTACTGCGCTCTCTGAACACTGGTACAAGCAGAGCCCGACGCCCTAGAGCAAGCGACCTGTTCCTCCTCCCAACTCCCCTGCCGCCCGCGTTCCTAGGGAGGAGCCCTCTTTCCCCCACACCTAGATCCCAAGGTTCCTGCACCCCCAAACGGATGGAGCAACCTCCTCCTGCCCACCGGAGGAAGGCAGCGGGCCTTGGATTCAAGGGCTGGCAGCCGGGTCCAGCTGTCGCCCCGTAAGTCCCCGCCTACCACCCCCACCCCATCGTGACCCCTATGTTTTGCATGAAAAGAAGCCCAGCTGGGGCGGTGGCGGAGGCGAGCCACCCGGGACTGGGGCCACAGTAGATTCCAGAAAGAGGCGGTTGGGTCGAGGGCACTAGCAGCGAGAAGTGGGACAGCTGGGGGACATCGGTGGGGGGTGTGAGGACCGCTCAACTGGACAGGTCCCTTCCCGCAGGCCTCGCCCTGCGCAGAGGTCTGGGAGGCACCCGGGAGTCCGGGTAGAGGACGTGAGGACCCCATCCCTCGCGGCTCCTAGCGCCCCAGGATGCTACCGGGTACTAGTGGGCTTGCTCCAGGAAGTATTGGGTCCGCAGGAGGAGCGTGAAGCCAAGTCCGAGCCCGCGGAGTCCGCGGAGCCCGCGGAGCCCGCTTGCTAGGTCGATGAACCCACCTTCTCCATCCACTACCCACCTCTGAGCGCTGGCCTGGGAGAGACTGCGGCGCGGAGGGGGTTGGCAGGCTAGCTAACCTATGATCCTATGGCCCGCAGCTTGGAGCCCATGTGTGTCTGTACAAGAGGGTGAGGAGAAGGCGTTAGTAGCCTGACACCCGGGGGTCGGGCACCCAGGGGTCAGGGCGGAGCGCCAGAGTCGCGCTGCGGCCTCCGCGGCTTCGGTTTCCAATGAAAAGGTGACGCCGGCGGCAAGGCGGGGGCTGCCTGAGGGCCACTGGGTTGGCGGCGGTGCGGGTGGAGTCAGAAAAGGGGCGTTGGCAAAGCCCTAAAACCCAGCGGTCCCAAGGAGCGCAAGCCAATTCGCTGTAGCGTCTTCCCGGTTCGTCCGAAGAGGGTTTTCCCTGTGCACAGCAGAACTCCCTGCCAGCCCAGGTTCAGTCAGCTGCGTTTCCACGAGCATCTCCCCCCGTTTAGCCTGCATTAAAGTCTGACCCGCGCCTCGGAGTGGGGTCAAAAGGCCAATTCCAAAATACCAGTTCGACTGTTTCTTTCCATACTGGGGCCAAATGCGCCTTCCCAGCATCCCCACCCCCAAAAACTTGGGGAACAAAAATGGGACCGTCCGGCCCTACCACTTTTAGACTCCACTTCGGGAGCAACCCCGGTTAAGCCTGGAAAAGCGGTCGGAACGAAATTTTGGGTTTTACTTGAGGGCTCCAGGGAACTCCGGAAGGCGAAGGTTCTCAAGACGGGAATCCGTCCACCACGTCTGTGCAAACCCGCCCCTGTGGACTGTGGTCCTGAGAGATCATACCCCGAGCGGAATGAGAGATATGGGTTCCCCGAGGAGTGAACTGTGGAGGGTGTGGTCTGCTGTCGTCTGTGAGAGCTTCTGCCGACCTGAAGTCTGGAAAAGGGGAGGACTAGAGAGGCCGGGCACGATCTGCCCACGCCCTGCACGCCCCAATCTCTGGCAGCCTCTTCGCGGCGCCCCGCACCCCCTTCCTCCCCCCTTCCCAGTGCTACCCACCTCTACCTTCAGCCGCCGCTGGATCCCCGCGGTTTCCCGCCTAGGCGTTTGTTTTTGTATGTAAAAGGTATCTCCGGATCACAGTTTTCTCACAACTTCTCGCAGAGGTTGCAACTCTTCACCCAAGACACTTCCCCATCCATTCCTTCCTCCTCCCCGGCGCCGCGCCTCCGGTCTCCCCGCCCCCACCAGGAAGCCACCCGAATCAACTTTCCAGGCGCGCTCTGCGGGAGACAGGCACCCGGCTCTCCCAGAGACTGGGGCCCTGTGGACTTTGGATGGATTAGGGGAGAGGGGATAGAAAGAGGGACGGGAGGAGGGAGATTCTGCTGCCAAGAGCCTTCTCCCTCTCCGAAGACGCGCGCTGTGCCAGGGACAAACTTCCAGGTCCAGAAAGTAAGGGGAGGAGATGTCAACACCCGCCGAACTGCAAAAGCCAAACTGCAGCGGAGCCGCCTGGGATTCCGGACCCGGCTGCACCCCAGCCTTCACAAGGCTCGGACTTGGATTACCCCCACCCTCCTGCAGAACTCTGGCCTCCGCCTGTGCCTATTCCTGCCCTCTCTCGGTACCTCCCACCGAAACCGACGCCTTACCGGAGCAGGAGGGTGCCGGGGCACCGCGCTGCCTGCCGCCCGCGCCGCGCGGGGCCG